GTGTATTTATTTATTTTTATGAGCCTATAAAGCTGCAGACTGACAGTATATCTGTCTGCTCGTACCTCATACGGGCAGGCAGTTACAAAATGACAGGAACCATCGATGAACTATCCAGTGCACTCACTAATGCCCTGCCGCTGCAAAGGCTGTTGTTTCTGTAGTTCATTCATTAACAGATTCCTTTGAATGAATGACGTATCTGTGTGGACGAAGTCCTGCTCAGCCATGTTCCTTTCAAATTGTGGCATCAGGTGCGGAGAGAAGATCCCAACCTCCCGTCAGAATTACATGGGGGATTGGGGCGAGACTGCAGGAGCGGGAACATGTTACATCTTCCACCCTAACAATGGCTGGAACCCCTAGAGGGGATGTCATTGACACCTTGAACTCACACGAAGTGGGTTTAATGATCCTTGGTGTCATTCAAATCAGAAAATTATTGGAGCTAGATCACGGAGTGATAAGTCTGCAGGGTACAGCGCCTGAGAGCTGGGTGAGTGTAATTATATAATTTCATTTTTTTTTTCACTAGAGTTTTATGGTAATTTTTTTATGTGAGTCTCAAAGATTTATTTGCTTGCTGTTCCATATTTTTGGCACTGTATTTAATACAGAGATCTGTAATTTAGCCAGTAGAGGGAGCTCCATCTCTGTTCCAAGAGCTGAATGGTGTGAACAAGCTGTTATGATTTTCAGGCTCAATCAGCTTGCATATAATCCTTAGTTTTGAATAACATATCCTGAAACTGAAATGCGTTTGATGAAAGGTGTCAAATTTCATGTTATGCTATAAAACAGAAAATTAATTTGCGTTAGCTAGAGTTCCAGGTATGATTATTAGATTATGTAGGTTCTGTACGTTATAAGAAAGCAGAAGGATTCACACTTACTTACTTACTCGCACTTCACATACTTTTTTCCCCTTGATGTGTTTTCCATTGAAATAAATAGAAACGCATTCAACTTTATGTGAACCCTCACCTTGTAAAACAACCCATTCAGTTTAAACTATAACAAAGGCAAAACATTTGTGTCTACATATAAAAAACATTATAAATAATTTCTTTTTATAAGTGATCAGAGAGCTGGGGGAGGAGAAACTGGTATCAGGACAAGTCTCATCATTGGAGGAGAGCAGGCTGAGTTCCCAGCACAGCACGCAAACTGACCACGCTGTGCTGTCAAGCCTCATGTGGTCAGTTTTTGTTTTTTTTCTCCCATAATATTTTTATTGAAAAAAACAGTCATAACAACAATAAGAAGTGGTGTACATTTCTCAGAAGGCATTACAGGATAGGTGTAAAGCGGCAAACAGGTGAGAAATCAACAACGTTATATATACAGATTCAGCATATCATACAGGGTGACAACCTCAAGTCGAAAAATCTGAAGGAATTTTCTGTCTTGCATTGCATCAAGGAAATGGGGCTAAGAGGTCTATATATTACTACACATAGGGTAGATTAGTAAACATCATATGATAGGCTGAAACTCATGGCTTCAGTTAGGCGTAGGTTTAGGCATCAATCCGTAAAATACTAGTGACCGAGAATCATGGAAATGTAGCCAAAAAAAGTAGAGAAAGACAGCAAAATAGGGAATAGAGAACAGAAAGGGGAAAGGGGATGAATAAAGAATAGAGGGAGAGAGAGAGAAAGAATAAAAAAGGCTGGGGGGCATGAGGGGGGGGGGGGGGTAAGGATCAAATTAAGGGAGTATGTTAAATACACTTTAAGGTTAGGGGGAAGGGATGCTGTTGAGCGGAGAGCTAGTACGATAAGGAGGTCTACGGTCCGGTAGGGTGGGGCCCTATAACGTTGGCGTGGTCAGTTTTTTATAGGAAATCAGAGGGATTGGCAGGAACTTCACACAAAGGAAGCAATACAAAGTTAATTTTTCATACAAGTACATGGCACAGCAGGCACATATCAGGAAAATGAAATGTTGGGTTTACATATTCTTTAAAACAATGTATTAGGCCCTTGATGCTGGCACCTCCCTGCCCTTTAAGGGTTTCAGAAGCCGGGAGGCGGGGCTGGGTTTAGGGCCATGTGACCGCCGTGACACGCCGTGACGGCAGTCACATGATCGGGAATGGTCCCGAGCGAAAGAGGAGATCGGGACCTTTACGTGAGTACCGGACATGTGTGCGCTCTCAGCACATATGTTTTTTTTTTTTATAGAACACAAATGTGCGGCCACTCCGGCGTCTAGGCCCAGATGCCGGGAGGCCGCACATTTGCGTTCGGCCAGCTCCAAGAGGTTAACGTGTATTGTTGCACATCTTCAATGTGTATCACAATGCACGTCTTGATGCATTTCTATTGATTTCAACGATAAAACACATCCAGCTTAAATGCTTGAAATGTGGGAGTTCTGCTGTGCCCTAGGTGTTCCCATTCTTCTTTTCCTTTTCATCTCCCAGTTCTTTCCGCTGTCAGCATGCTGTCACGAAACAGTGCACAGAAAAAAAAAGTCATGGCAGCAGCTGAGAAGAAAGTTTAGTAATAGGGTTTTCGCTTTCCTCTGTCCTGCCAACCCAGATCTTATGAAACACAAAACAGAGGGATTGTAAGGAAGACTGCAGAATAGATGCATTGGATTTTTGGTTTTAGGATTCATACTTTCTCAGGTATGTAGAGTAGTTCTGGCTTCACTTTGACTCTTATTTGTGTGCTGATTCTAGGTCATTCTTGGAAGCAGGTTATCAATGGCTTTTCTGTACACATTTTCTTTTAAGACATTAATGGGAAGCCTTCCCTGAGACAATTCAGCCTCTGTCCCTCAAACCCCCCCCGCTCAGAAAAACAAAAGTAGAAGCTTTAAATCGTATTTCCACTTTTGCAACCAATTTTGAGAAATCACCTCAATGGGGTTTATTTACTAAAGCTAGAGAGTGCAAAATCAGGCTTACTTCTGCATAGAAACCTCAGCTTATTCAATTAGGCTTTGGCAATAAAACCTGGAAGCTGATTGGTTTCTATGCAGAAATTTGTCTGATTTTGCACTCTCCAGATTTAGTAAATAAACCCCTATATAGTATGTTTTTGTGTTCCCATTTGCACATCATACCTAACCCTTTTTAATATATATTACTTTTAAGATGTTGGTCAGAGAGGGCCTCATGGCTCACTGCAAGGAATTTTTGAACAATGTCATTGTGAATCTGTTCCAAAGACAGGATGTGCTCCCTCCTATTAACATGCAATGCAAAAAGACCAACTTCTAAACCAGGGATATTGAATTACAATTCATGGAGGTCCAGGCAGTAAAATGTTCTTCCTGCAGAGGTCCGAATCGCATGTTTGTCTGATGACTAAGATCTTTACATCACAGACCCCCACATTTATATCACAGTCCCCCGCCAAGTGTCCTAGTAACCAATCCCGGCTTGCAGCTCAAGACTTGCCACCTCTCCCATGCTTTGCCCTGCTGGGAGGATGGTGGAGAAGGAAGCAGGAGAAAGATCTACAACATGGCCAGGACAGGGAGAGAAACAGACAAACAGAGACCCAGCTCCTAAAAGGCGCAAACGTGACAGTCTGGATGTGACGGTTACTTGGTCCGGATCTGGACCACGGTCCGCCATTTAGTGATGCCGGTTCTAAACCAATATTCCTTCTTTAAGATAGTCAGTGTTCAAGTTAGTTTACAACTGATAATGAAATCCTGTCAGCACAGTACAGACAGAGTTAGTTATGGCAAACACAGTTCCCCAACCCTCTCATAAACAAAGAAATCTAGGAGGATTTTTCCTTGCTATTGTTAGCAGAAAAGGTAAGCTGCAAATTTTAAATATTTTGTTATGCTATGCGATCCCAATTTGACTGCAAATGTGGAAATATACTTTGACACCTTTACCAGTCTGACCAGTTATAGAGGCAGCTGCTGTTTTTTAAAAAGGGTTGAAGCAACAGTCCAGGCTTCTTGGGAGAAAGATGTAACTGTAGCCATAGGCAGCTATGTAAAACCAAACAAAGATGGTCCCCAACACATTTTCATGCTAGCCAGCAAAAAAACCTAACGTAGTTATGTGACCACTGGCAATATAGCACCCTTTAATAATCACTGTACAAACTACTGTCTGATTGCTTAATGATTTGTCCAGGAACAGAGGCATTTAGGCTATAATTTCAGATGCAGTTACAGTGAACTTACATCCAAAATATATATATTTTTGTCTTGGATAGAGTAGGAAAGAGAACCTCTGTTGATTTTTTTTCTCTTTTGCTACAGTATCTGTACCCCATCGTGGAGATTTCCCTTTACTTCCTGACCTATAGACACAGCAGGACAAGGGGAAAATCCTCTTTTAGAAAGTTGTCTGGAGAAAGTGCCTCCATTGACAGATTGACCATCTCCTCCGGTTGTGGTGACAACTGTAAAAATTTGGATTTACAATTCCCTTTTGTTCCAGGCATATAGGATGAATCTCCCTAGCTGGGATACAGACAGTAATAAAAACCTGATAGGGGGTCTATCACTTCCCTACAATATAAAAAAAAAAAAAAAAAAAAGCTTTGACTTTAGATTAGATAGTAATTCTTATGCGATTCAGATGTCTCTGTCCATTTACAGCCAAAGTAAGCTGCAGTGGGAACTGTAATTTTCAAATGGCACAATTATTAGTAGTTGCCAACAGTGTATATGGTAAGATTATTATTAATACTATACAGGGTTTATATAGCGCCAACAGTTTGAGCAGTATAAAGGGAGACAGTACAGTTACAATACAATAAAACACAAGAGGGTTAAAAGGGCCCTGCTAATAGGAGCTTACAATCTAATAGAATAAAGGCTGTTTTAACTCTTTGCAGCCCAGAATTATGAACAGACCACTCCCAACTTTCAAAACCACAGATATTCTATATTGCCAAAAGTATTGAGCCAGCCCTTCAAATCATTGGATTCAGGTGTTCCAATCACCTCCATGGCTACAGGTGTATAATATCAAGCACCGAGGCATGCAGACTGCTTCTACAAATATTTGTGAAAGAATGAGTCGCTCTCAGGAGCTCAGTAAATTCAAGTGTGGTCCCGTGATAGGTTGCCACCTGTGCAGTAAGTCCATCCATGAAATTTCCTTGCTACTAAATATTCCACGGCCAGCTGTTAGTGGTATTATAACAAAGTGGAAGCAACTGGGAACAGCAACTCAGTGGAAGGCGACGCAAAATGACAGAACGGGGTCAGCACATGCTGAAGCAGAGTCAATAGCTAAAGACCTCCAAAATTCATGTGGCCTTCAGATTAGCACAACAACAGTGCGTATATAGCTTCATGGAATGGGTTTCCATGGCTGAGCAGCTGCATCCAAGCCTTACATCACCAAGTGCAATGCAAACCGTCGGATGCAGTGGTGTAAAGCACGCTGCCACTGGACTCTAGAACAGTGGAGACATGTTCTCTGGAGTGACCAATCACACTTCTCTGTCTACCAATCTGATGGACGTGTCTGGGTTTGGGAGTTGCCAGAAGAACGGTACTTGCCTGACTGCATTGTACCAAGTGTAAAGTTTGGTGGAGGGGGGATTATGGTGTGGGGCTGTTTTTTCAGGGGTTGGGCTTTGCCCACCAGTGAAGGGAACTCTTAAGGCGTCAGCATACCAAGACATTTTGGACAATTTCATGCTCCCAACTTTGTGGGAACAGTTTTGGGATGGCTCCTTCCTGTTCCAACATGACTGCACCCCAGTGCACAAAGCAAGGTCCATAAAGACATGGATGAGCGAGTTTGTGGTGGAGGAACTTGACTGGGCTGCACAGAGTCCTGACCTCAACCCAATAGAACACTTTTGGGATGAATTAGATTGGAGATTGCGAGCCAGGCCTTCTTGTCAGTGCCTGACCTCACAAATGTGCTTCGAGAAGAATGGTTAAACATTCCCATAGACACACTCCTAAACCTTGTGGACAGCCTTCCCAGAAGAGTTGAAGCTGTTATAGCTGCAAAGGGCGGGGCCAACTCAATATTGAACCCTACGGACTAAGACTGGGATGCCATTAAAGTTCATGTATGTGTAAAGGCAGGCGTCCCAATACTTTTGGCAATATAGTGTATCTGTCTGCATATTAAACTGTCAGGAGGAAAGATAAGCTCCTATGAGAACTTCATCAGTGCAGGTATATGGATCATGTATAGCCACCCCTATTGTTCCTTTTCAACATGAGCATTCTGAACACGTTCGCAGTCCCCATATCTCTCTGGTTTGCTGATCACCGTGAACAGTCAAGCTGTTGTAGATCAGCCTGGTTGCAGCAAAGAAGTTTCTGCTTATAGAGGCTTACCATTTTCAGACACAGAGAGGAAAGTCTCATCCATATGCCCCCTGCCATTGTTGACTGGTGAGGATTTCCCAGATGACAACCCCAGTGGATCTGTCCTGGATTCTAAGGGTCTGTCCCAGGATTTCAAAACCAACAGAAACAGGAGGTTGCACAGCACAGGATTCAGGAAGCAGATCCACTCACCTTACATGTGACATGAGAAACTCTGTAATTTCACAGCAAATTAGACTACATTCACATGGGTGCATAGGGGCAGAAAAGAATCAGTATGTTTTGGCCAGTGATACTCAACTCTAGGGCAGCTGTTAGCTGCAGCTATCAGATATGTACTCTGTACAAATCAAGGCTGGCATTGCCACTGTTTGCATGTAACTGCTTGACTGAGCGATTACATGCAAATAGAGCCTTCAGCTGACCCTGGACGCAGCCAGTGTGCTTCCAGGGTCAATGTTCAGCTGTCTCTGAATGCATCTACCTATCTGCACCCATGTGAATGTAGCTTAACACAGGACTTGAAATATGGTGGGCAGCACAGTGGTTTAATGGTTAACACTGCAGCACCTTGGTTCAAATATCAGCCAGGACACCACCTGAATTTCTTTTGCATAGTCTACTTGTGCTTGCTAGATTTTTCTCCCAAAAACATTCTGGTAGGTTAATTGGCTGCTGTATAAAATTAGCTCTGGTATGTATGTTTATTAGGTAGGGACCTTAGATCAGGGTTTCTCAATCAAGGTTTCATGGAACCCTATGGTTCCTCCAGAGGTTACTAGGGGTTAATTGAGCAATGAGAAATTTCTGCCTCTCAGATAAGTTCCCACTGACACTATTGATCCTTTTAGGGTGCACTTTTTCCCAAAGACCACATGTGTAAGGAGCATGCTTTCCACTGACCATCACACTAATGTACAATAAGTTTGTAGATTAAGTCATTTTTAGCAGGGCTTCCCTGAGATTGGAAAGTTATTTCAAGGGCTTCACTGTGTTAAAACAGTTGAAAAAGCCTGCCTTAGACTGTAAGCTCCTTGGGGCAGGGACTGATGTGAATGTGCAATGTGAGTAAAGTGCTGTGTAAATTGTTGGTGCTATATAAATATCTGTAATAATAATATGGTCAATCGAGTGGACTTTGTGCCTCTGGCACAGTCTTGATTGTATTATTAGTCCACTTATTGAGCTGAGTTGAGCCCTGGAAGTGCACTTTACCTTAAAAAATGGAGGAAAACGAGTTATAGTGCCCCTTAAATGATTTTAGCCATGTCATTATTGCCTTACTGCTCAAATTAAAATTTAACAACTGAGAAAGAAGTCAGTAAATGGGCAAATCCATTCAAAAATACTCAAAAAATGTCACAAAAGTACAGGATTGTACAGCCATCTGTAGTGTTAGTGACTTGAGTTTAAGGACAATCTGGCAGTGTCAAGCCTCTAAGCGTTGGTCATCTTTGTCTAAAGGTAATTGCGTTTCTACAAAACATTCTTTGAACGTTCATTTTTTAAATTCCCGATGGGGATGTGAAGTAAAACAAGAGCACATGAGGCACAATAGAGCAAGATTTTCCCTTTTCTGTGTTAGATATGGTATTGTTTGGTGCTGGGAGCTTGCCCGGGTTCCTCAGCAAGGAGAATTTAGTAAATAGGCCGTATTAGGAGGAATTGTTTTCGCACACAGTGGAGAATAGAGCCAGCTGTTAGCAATAGGCAGGTGTCTACTCTCTCTTCCTTTCTTCTGCCGAAGAACTATCCCAGGAATTCCGCTTGTCTAAAGGAGCCACCTCCCAGGGAGGCAGAAAGTGACAGAGAGGCTGAAAGAGACGTGTCAGAGCTAAAATTCCTCCCATACACAAACAATTTTGGGGAGGAAAGGTATTAAAGGCACAAGGCTAAAGGTTCAAAAGCCAGTTTCATGTATTTGCTCCTGATCTTTATATAACAACCAAATCTATAGTCATGATAAATGCCAACTGTCCATTATTTCAGAAGTCTTCAAACATTGTGAGTTGTTTTTTTTTTATTTTAGAAATTCAGTCCCTGGAGTTGTCCTATTTTTCATTATTCAGTACTTGTAAAGAACTAGCAACGTTAGCTTTTATATCACTGTTTATAAGGAACATTTAAGGGAAAACTAGTCTTATTTTTTAAGATATAAGGTGAAAGTGATCAGCTTAGTGTTAATAATGTTACAAATGAAAAAAAACATACCCCAAAAAACCAAAACAAAAACAAAAACTGCTATACAAAATTCGAGCCGTGGCAGCCCCTATCCGTACTGCCCAGATTACCGAAAGTTGACTGTGCAATCAACTTTTGTTGATGAAGGTGGGTGGAAAATTGTTGACCAATCCAATTGGATGTAGACATTGTTCGAGTATTCTGATAGCTGCAAGTGTCGGCTATAAAAATCATACAGAAATAAAAAGAAAAAGCCTCCCTGCCAACTCACATATTATGTATAGTCTCTATAACCATACCATAATTACAATAAAACATAGACCTCCACAAAAGTAGGGGTCATGTAATGAGGTTACTTTAACAAACTACGTGGTATGGACACAGGTGATTCAAAATCTATATTATTTTATTAGATTCCAGAAAAAGTATTATCAAAAGTACAATTAGACACAACAGTTAAAAAAAATACCTGTCACCGCAAACCTCTTAAGAATTAGGACAACATTGCCTCAAAGTTCAAAGCTGGCAAGCTTAGATCACTAAGGCCTCGTTAGTGATTATTGGCAATTGGGGTAACCAACCCTTTGCTATATCTGGAACAATACATATAATCCATATAAATTGCCCAAAAATCACTAAGGTCCCCTCAAAAATGTTTACACATGACCCAAATATATACCGATGAATACCTCACCATCATGTCAAAAAACATGTACAGTATATCATGACTTCCTTCAATAAACTGCTTGCATGATTTGTTGGGAGAGGAAAAACATTTATAAACTTGTAAGTGGGGGTTAGGTGGGTGATAGTGAACCTTCCTCCATGTTTCCAAAGTAACTCGTTGGGCACCAAGTCTGGGTCACATAAGAGGACTACCCCCAGGGTGGGTACTTCTGGGCTACTCTAGGCACCTGAGACAGGGTCACTCTCCTACACTTGGGGTACCTTTGTTTTATTGCCATTTCATCAATGCCTTGGGACAAGGCTGAGGCCACCGTGAGGGATTACTCAACCTTAAGGCGGGCCTCCTATATTAATGATGACCGATACACTATGGACACTTGCACCATAACTGTTCTTCAGTTATTCTCAGTCTCCGTGTAAATGTACATCTTCCCACTGTAGCTTACAATTAGGCAGACTGTGCAAAACACTGACCACAGTCACCTGTCCAGCATTTTCCACTACTGGTCCTGATAGCAGCATGGAACCCCACAGTGCACATACCGTGGGCTCCAACATGCACTTGACTTTAACTCTTGCACTTCTGTACCTCTGTACAGGATGGGGACCTCTGCAGTGCAGTTCAGTTCCGGTTGCTATGGGAGACAGAATGTGGCATATGGAGTGCTGACAACATCTTCCTTGCGGCAAGAGGCACCTATAACAGTTACATGGCTGCAACAGGCTGTATGCTGACGGTACCTTCATTGCTTATGGCAACCACATGTATACCTTGCACTAGAATGACTCTTAACATGCTGATTCTTCATGTGCCATGTGCTAGTGACCTGAGCTGTAGACTAATTGCAAAGTTGTGCATTACACCCCTTTGATTAACTGCAGACTGGGCAGAAGGCAGAAGCTTCAACAATTCACTGAATAAAGTGTAGACAGTACAGAGTCCAACATGACACAATCATTTCCTAAGTCCCTAATCCTACTATGTGCTGTCCCGGCATACCTGCAAAGGTGGAGTCCATGTAATTTCAGAATCCATCAGAGGCATTCTCCAGTAGCTGGTGTCTTCAGGGAAAACCCCAAGTTCTGACGATTTTACATCCAGGTAGTAGAGAGAAACGTTCATGGATTCCTCCTGAGCTTGCTGGCTTTTGTAGTTTGAGACAAAGTTGTCTTAATTTTTAGGAGGTTTGTGGTGAAGGGTATTTTTTTTTACTGTTGTGTCTAACTGTACTTTTGATAATATATTTGACGGAGTTTAATAAAATTGATATACATTTTGAGAATCACCTGAGTCTGGTAAAGTAACCTCTTTGCATGACACCTATCTTTAGTGAAGGTCTACGTTTTTTTCAAGTGTCGGCTGCCAGAATATAATAGCCAGCAAGGGAGTCGTGTCCGTCTGCAGTGCTCAGCAATTATGGAGGAATCTGTTAGCTTTCTTTCATTGATCGCACAGACTGAGTGAAAAACAAACTTTGAGTGTATGGCCAGATTTTGATTTAGTTTACACTTGCAGTTGGTGG